TTTGTAAATATAATATTACACGCGAATTCACTGTGTAATTGTGTAACTTTATTAGCAGCATCCTCCTGATAAAGGCATCGCACATAAACAAGTAGTATTGCCTTATTGTCCACATCTGTAGACTCATCAACCTGCAAAGCGTACCATGGTGATGTATTAATTTTCTCCAACAACTGTGTCTCAGCGTCCTCTGCTATTTCATCAATGCGATGAGTAACAGTGCTAGCCGACAGAGGCACCTGTGCTATCCTTTCAGCCGCCACCTCCCCAAAAAGTTCACAGCAAATGTCTTTAGTGGCAGGAAGGATCAATTCTTCACCAATAGTGAATGACTTTTTAGCCTTAGCAATACGGTTAGCCACCAAGTATGATGCTCTCAGTGCACCTGTATTTGTTGTTGTGGAGGCCCTCAGTAATTGCTTCTGTCCCTGTTGTTCCCGCTTTTTTCTTTCAAAATACTCCAAAGGCTTGTTTTTTAATGTTGGGTGCTTGATCTCCAAGTGACGAAGCAGTTTTGAAGGCTTCATTGCTTCATTGGAGAGCCGGTCGCTGCATATTATGCAGAGCGGGCTTGGTGCGTGGGAATCGCCTGTCGCGATAAATCCATATTTCAAGTAGGTATTTTGTTATTGTCTGTTAAATACAGCTTTCTTTTTCTTAGTGGTTGTCATACACTCTTCTTCTGCCTCCTCACTGGGCCTTTTTCCCTTTGCAAAGAAACCCTCCAAAGACATCTGTTTTTTACTCATTTTGCTAGCTTGGAGGTTTAATATTAGCTACTAATGTATCTTGACATGCGTCAAGAGTCAGTCATAGACGGAAGTAAATGAGAGAATTCAGTCTTTTTCAAAATAAAACACTGTTCAGAGTCAGATAATAAATAAAATGAAATTAATGTAAGTTATTTATTTTTTCTGTGCGGTATGAGCCTCAACTCTCGCGGCCCGGTACCGGTCCGGGACCCAGGGGTTGGGGACCGCTGCTGTGTTTGTATGAACTAGACCATCTGCTTTGTCGATGTGCACATTTTGTAATCTTCCCGTGAGGAGCTCGGGACATTTCTGCTCCAAATCCACAGAGTAGCTGATCACTCTGCATTCCTTCACATCGAACTGTTATGATCCAGTCCCATTTGATGAGGTTGCACAATGTTCCAGATCATTTCCCAAGAACCTTATTTGAAGAACTTAATTTGACTGTCTCAGCAGCAGAGGATAACTGGAGATGTGTACATTAATATAAATAAAGCTAAAGAAAAATGAACAGGTAGCCTACAGAAAACATGTCCTCCACCAGTAATTATCACATTATTACGTTCTTGTTTCTGCCTTGCTGCCGAACTATTACCACCTTACTACCGGGCTGCATTTCCATATTATTACCTGCAGTTTTTGGGCCCTTATTATACAATTACATAAATCTCAGTGTTATATGACTCAACTATAACTTTGTTTGCTACCATGATTTTTTTTTAATATAGTTGTGAGTGGTAATAACATATAAATTGAAGAACACAGAGTGAGATGCACATTTTGTAGTCCATCTTCTGTCACTGTAGTTCCTTCTTGTTTTTAAGTCCTTAAAAATCCTCCTTAATACCTTTCCTTGACCTTGTAATGTTTCCCACTGTGATGAAGAAAAAATGTTAAGGAGAAGGAGGTACGAGGTAATTTTTGGACTGTTCAAAGCGTGCTCTGATCACTCAGCTTTCTCTTTCCTGAGGAAATCTGACTGCTGGACCACACCCTGTAACTTTCTCTCTCTCTCCTCCCCAGCAGTTTGTTTCGGTTTCTGTTTCTGTTTGCTTTTTGTTTTCCACAGACTATCATCCACACTCACACATTAGTGACACAGTCATCCCACATTTGGGATTAAATAAATAAACTCCATTACTGTGTGGTCGTCCTGTTTTATCTGAGCTGATTAATGGCAGCACTCGGTTTCAGTTTCACTCGCTGGTTATAAAACACTGACGGAATGAAAGCGTTTCACTCCCTGAATGACGACAGACAGTCTGACTGACTGAAATGCCTCTTTAACTGATCAACCTGGATCATTTATCATTCATCATGATGACTCACAGTGTACTCACAGCAGAGGTCGTCGATCCTCTGAAGTTGTTCTGTCGTCTGCCTCTTGGTCTCTGAGAGGAAACAACTCCAACCGCAAACGGTCTGATATCTGCGGTCTGATATCTGCGGCTGTAAACTCTGCTGCCCCCTTGTGGCACCAACACACTGCAGCTGCTGCTGCTACTGATCATGACAGACGAGACAACGTTCAAGTAATATTAACAAGCACATTAATTAAACATTACTGAACAGATTGGTGCACAAAGAAAAAAAAACATTGAAATTCAACTTTCATCTTCAGGAAATGTTTTTTAACACTCACAGTTTCACATCTATAAATCTGACCATAAATCTGTCAGAGGATGTCAGATAAGACCGTAGACCTGAAGAAGCCAGGAACGTTCTACTAGACATCAGCAGGAAGCTCGGTGAGAAGGTGACAACTGTTGGTGTGATTATTTAGAAATGGAAGAAATATCAAATGACCATCAGTCGCTCTCGGTCTGGAGCTCCATGCTTGCCTCATGGGATGATGGTGATCATCAGAAAGGTGGTTGTGATGGACAAACCCATGGCCACACTCTGAAGTCGCTGCCAGACAAAATGTGGTGGCCAGGGTTTGAAAGCATTAAATGCAACAGGGATAATTGGACTGCACCACCGCTTCCTGCTGAAGGGGGAGAGTGTGTGTTTTCTTTAATGTAAAAACAAAGTAGTTGCCCTTAATTAAATATTTGAGTTTAGGGTTTAATGATTTTCTTTTTTGGTGTTTAGTTTATTATCAAACCAGACTGTACTGCATTGTTTCTTGTTTACAGTTGTGTTTTGTTTAGTTACCCCTCACGTGTCATAGTGGTCTGATCAGCCATTAGATATACCCTTGTGTGTCATTTCCTGTTTAGGTCAGTTATGTTTGTTTGGGCAGTCAGTTGGTTTGTTAAGTTGTGGTTTTACATGAGTTGAGTTTTGTTTCTTTTACCTCTTTTATGAGCTCAACATTTATTACTTGTGTAAATATAATTTTTGGCTTAAATAACCCTATTTTTAAAATAATTCCTGTGACTCCTCCTTTTTTCAACTCGGTCCATCACACAGGTCCAAGCCAGCTAAGATCAGCAAGAACCCTGTTATCATGGTTCCGAAAAGGTAGATACTCCTCCTGTCCTAGATCGACCATCCCGTCAGGCACATGACCCTCCAGTTCCTCCACCTGTCCATCATGTATCTGGCAGGGAATGTCCCTCCAGGATAGTCGGGCTCCCCCGACCTCAGGCTTCTCGTTGAGAAGAGGGTGTCAGTTGGATTCAGGACCAGTTGATCAAATTATAATTATCAAACTACGGTACTTGTTAGTCAGTTTAGAGTATCTGAAAATGAGGGACTGTGTATAAAAATGTCTGTAATTCCTAAACAGTTACTGGAAGTTTTTTGTAAAGATTACAGTTTCATCTGTCTTCAAGACCACAGCTCTCTGTGCTTCTTCTACCTCTGATGTTGTTCAGTCACATTTAACTTCAAGTTGGTATTAAATGCAGTGAAATGTGTTTTCAAACAGCAGACAGTGTAGAAGCATGCAGGCATTATCTGATGAGCTGACATGTTTAAGATGAAGAATAAAAAACTTCAGGTTCGGCTTTTTTCAAGCTCAGCAGTCAGACAGAAGCAGGTCAGTGATGCTGACTGAGAGGCCTGTTCACCAAAATCATCCTGCAGTTCAGCTTTTTATGTTAATGAGAACATTACACTCACAAACTCATGATCATGTGACCATGATCTTAAAGCTAATCCAGCAGGTTCGAGTAATTATTAATGAATCAGAGCTCAAATTATATTACTTTAAAAACATCAGGACACCTGCTAACAAATGAGAGAATATGGACCAATCAGCTCGCTGAATTCTGATCTTAATAAAGTGACTTCCAGCTGCTTCCTGTTACAACAGGTCACCACAGCGTGCAGCTCCTGACACGACAAGAAAGGGATTCATGTCTCTGTTTAATCAAACGCGACTTAATGACAGGACTGGCTGAATAAATGTTTAACTGTGAACAAACGCTGTGTCACAGTGAGATTTTAGAATTGACATTTGTACTTAGAAACATAATCATATATGCTTAGAGTCTATAACTGTTTGCATATTGATAGAAGGTCTCATCCTTAGTAAGGCTCTGTGTACCATGAGATGGGAGGACGTTCACTCCTTTTCCAGAGTGTTCTGACATACCTCACATACATCCGAGGGTCATGAGAGAGGTTGTATCTTCTCTTTCTGATATATGGTACGGCAGACACATCTGTATCTGTTTGAGTATAAGAGCCTTTTCTTTAGGTGGACCGCTGTTTTGCCCCTGCAGTGGATCGTCTCTTTGTTCCAGCAAAGGGTTTTACTTAGATAAAGCTAACACACTGGCAGCACGAGTGCACAGGAAGCAAATGAAAATGAAGCTGTAAATGTGTAAATGACATGTCTGAGTTAGTAAAACTACATCCCCTCACACAGAGGATAAAACAGCTGCTCTCATATGTGTGATAAACATTTGCTGTGTTTTATGAAGCAACAGAAAAATCCAGGAAAGGAAACAAAAAGTAAAATTATACTTTTTTAATAAAAGCATAAAAATCAACACAATAAAAAGTCCATTAACATCAACATCAGGAGTCACTGAGAAAATAAACTTAATATTAGATCAAACATAAAGAATATAAAGAAGCTGAAAGGAAAAAGTCAAAAGTTGAACATTTTAATGTCCAATAAAATATAATCACACTTCTATGTTAAAGATAAATCAGTTTTTTTTGTTTTTTTTTTAAATGAGATCTTATCTTACGTGTGTCGTTTGTCTTTGTCGACTGAGTCCAGATCTTGTATCATCTCAGTTCAAACTGGTCTTGGCCTTTCTTTGTTCTTGTTTGTGATCACGTGAATGTTTAGTAAAAGAGTTTCTCTCCTTTCTCTATTTTGGCCATGAGCTCTGCTTTTTCTTTCATCTCCATCAGAGACTGAACTCGTTGCTTCCAGCCTGGTTTGCCCTCAGATTTCTCTTCCTCAGTAAGCATGTCGATGTACTCTGGAGTGGACAGAGGGTTTGCCTTCAGTGCTATCTCTTTGAGTCTGTTCAGACACTTGGAAGATCTCTCCATCAGTTTCACTACGTCAGCCTGCAAACTTTTATACTCAGCCTTCAGTTTATCAATCACTTTCTGAACAGTCATCTTCTCTCCTCTGGCTTCCCGATACTTTTCTTCCAGCTCCTTTATTGTTCTTTTTTCTTTAACATCTTCATAGCCCCATTTGTACTTCTGGTTAAAGTGTACATTCCAAATACATTTGCCTGGACACTGAGTACAGTATCCATCTGATCCCATTGCTGGACAGTATCTTAAACCCTCACGATTTGCTATGGTACATGGATAGTGACAGGTGACATGACATTGCTGACAGTTGGTGATGTAGTTTCCAGTACCAGAAATATCCTCCTGAAAAGGCTTTTTGACAGTAACTTCAAACTCAAAGTTCTCATTTCTGCTGATCTCGGCTTGATGTTCTTTAAGTTTATCACTCGTCTTGTTTATCTCCTCAAGCTTGGCTAACCCAAGTTTCACCTGCACCTGCAAATTTTCGACTGTAATCTCCAGTATCTTTCTTTCTCTGAGGACTTCCTTTGTCAGTGTCAAACTTTTAGGTTCTCTTTTATTCAGAGCAGCAAAAAACCTTTTCATGCTTTTTGTCCCCATCTTCCAAAACATCTGATCAAAGTCTCCTTCATCATCATCATCACTCATTCTGTCTCCTTCAGCTGATTTGTTATTTGCAAACAGCGCTGAGTTATTGAATTTGAAGTGAACCGGCAGCCCGTCTTTTGTTTTAGGACATGGGACTCCTGCAGCATTGATCGCCTCGAGAACTGGAGGTCGCTGACCGTCTGCAAATGTCACCACAATGCTGATGTTTTCTGCCACATCTTTGCCAAAGATTGAGAGCACTGAATCAAACACATATTTTTGTGTTGGTGTGAGTCGTGCTAAAGCAGCCTGAGCTACAAAACACACAGCATCAATGTCAGTGACACCGTGCTGAGCAGAGAAGAGATTACGTAGCTGCTCTGTGATCTCTCTGTCTCTTTCTATGCCTCTTGTATCTCCAAAGCCTGGAGTGTCAATAATGGTCAGAGAGAACGGGATTTGAAATCCATCCTGGTGGTTGATTTTGTAAACAGTGACTTCAGAGGTCTGACTGGGAACTCGTGATGTTGACTGATCCTCATTAATGAATTTAAACCTGAAACTGTCCTCCCACTCGACACCAACAATGTAGTTGATCATCCCATCGATCAGAGTGGACTTTCCTGATCCTGTCGCTCCAAAAAGCATTATTGTACGATTCTGCCTCGTGCTTTCTTCTCCAAAGTTAAACTTCCTGCATCCATCTATGTTCATGTGTTCTTCTGTCAGAGGCAGTTTGTAAACTGAGGGGGAATCTGATTTGATCTTTTTACTTTTAATCCTGAGAAGTTCTGCGAGGTGGTTAAATGTTGTGCAGACTTTAACAGTGATGCTTTCTTTGCTTCTTCCAGCTGAACCACAATCACATCTGACCCTGACTGCATATTCTGTCTCTGTCTGGAGACCTGAAAGGATCACCTTTTCACCTGCTGACTTTGTTTGGTTCCACTGCAGAGCTTCCTCATTATCATCTGTTTTTGCATACTCCACCATGTAGCTCAATATCTGGACATCCTCTCCGAGCTCAGCAGGTTTCTCCCAGCTCACTGATATCTCACTTGAATATGGCTGAGCTTGAGGTTTTCCAGGAGGGCTGCAGGGTAAAGTTTTAATAGAAACTTTATTAGCCGGCCCGACACCTGCTGAGATCACTGCTCTGCATCTGAACACATACTCTGTGTTTGGCTTCAGATCTCTCACTGTGACTTCTTCAGCCTTTGCTTCTGTCTTCTGCTGCCATCCATCCTCTCCACTGACACAGTACTCAACAGAGTAGGAGGTAATGTTCTCTGCTCCAAATGTGGGTGGAGAAATCTTCAGTTTCACACTGTTGTGGTTTATCTCAGCTGCTGTCACAGTTTCAGGCTTTGAAGGAGGCTCAAAGTTCTCACTGACAGCAAATCCACCTTCATAAAGGTGGATGCTGGAACCTTCCTGGGTCTCATTAGTTAACCCCACTGTCAGGAACGTCATGTTCTTGTTCTCCTCGTTGGCCTCTGCAAAATCACTGAAGAGTTTTGCTTTTCTCCACATTTCAGCTGTTACTTCTTTTGAGGCGTACCATTGTTCCTTCTCTACATCATGAGTGTGAGGATCTTGAAGGTCTGGGTTGGTTGGAGTGTGAGATTTTTGGTGGAAAACATTAAAAATGAACATGAAAATGAAACTGAACAGACTAACCAGGAGGTTTGGTTGGTTTCTTTGTTGGTTTGTCCCTTTTAAGTATCTTGATAAAGCTGAGAGGTACGGTTCATCCTTTCCCAGAGAGGTGAAAACAAAACACACAACATGCTCTGCACTCAGACTTTCCTTGTACAGATCATTTTGAGACGAGATGATTTTGGTGTTTTTCATCATCCTGGTAAAAGACATTAATGTGTCAACTTCTCTCTCTTTACAGTCCATCCACTCGTTCAGGCTTTTGCTGCTGAAAGGTGAAGAATGTCTCTTCTTCAGGACCTCTGAAAGCTCAGCTTCTTCTCCTGTTCCTCCTCGGATTGATTGAAGTTTCTTTCCCAACATTTGTTGGAATTCCACCTTGAAGTCAAAGCACATTTCTTTAAAACTTTTAAGCCTTTTGCCAATTTCTGGGAACTCCTGTGCAGTGCTGGTTCTCAGTACATCATTGTACCTCATTTCCACCTCACTGAAGTCCTCCAGGACTGTCTGTGCTTCTTGAACTAATCTTATACTGATCTGACGGACGAGTTTAGCAGCAGAAGAATCTAAACATGTCATTGGCAGCAGCCAGACCTTCATTGGTACAGCTTTTTCTCCCAGCAATTCTGGCAGTTTTTGGTAGACTTCTACTGCATCTTGAAAGGTTGTTGGTGGTTTTGGAAGCCAGAAGTCTCCATAATATCTGCAGGAGAATTTATCAACACTTTCTTTGTCCTTCTCTTCCATCTTCAGGGAACCTTCACCCTCTACAGAAAGTAAGGGAATCTTGTTGATGATCACCTTCAAGTTGCCCTGAACATCTTGATAATCTTCATCTTCAGAAACCTCACGGTCAAACACAAAGAAAGCTTGTGCTCCATAAAGAATAGCTGTGACTACATGTGTTGCTAAGCCTTGATCAAAAACATATGGATGCTTCACATTTCCTCTTCCAAGATGATTCATGGACAGCTCCTGGATCTTTGTGGTTGCCTTGTACTTCAGTGTTACTCTGGCCTGATTTCTGGAAGATTTACTATCATTCAGATATTTGGCAGATCCATCAACCTGAACCAGTCCACCCAGGAAACTTGCCTTCAGTGAAGCATCAACATTCAGAGCTGAAGATTTGTCTGAGATTGATTCAGATGCAACAATGTCAAAATCATTAGAGGCCTGCGGTCTTTCTCCAACATCTTTCATCAGGTCATCACGATCCCACAGAGTCATTCCTGCAAAAGAAGAAGCAACAAAAGTACTACCAGGACTCCATCAATTAAATCACACTCTAAAATAAATGTTAAAAAATGATTTTAAAAAATGTGAATTTTAAAATAAATACACAGAGTGGTGTGTTTCTATGAGCAAACTTGTCAAACTTTTGCTGTTGATTTTTTCACGACTTTCCTTGTTGTGTTTTTTCATCTCTTTTTCTTTATTCACCAAAATGAAATAAAAAAAATAAATGAAGCACAAATCTTTTGTGTGTCTGGATGAACCAGATTAACTGAGTTCTTCCAGATGAAGAGTTCAGGCTCTGCATCTGAGTTTTCAGTATTTAAGATAATGACAGTAATAATGTCAAAAATGGCAGTTTGGATTTTCTTGAGGGAAACGTTCTAATAACTAATTTAGTGACGCCACTGTCAAAAGACTGCATGTCACTTCCATTTTTTAAAGCCAGTCGACTGTAGAATATATATATATATATATATATATATATATATATATATATATATATATATATATATATATATATATATATATTATATTATATTTAAAAATGAAAGTTTGCGATGCATCAAGAATCTTTACATATGAATTCTTACCAGTGAAGAGAAAGTCTCTTCGACAGTCGTACAGCATCCCGATAGTGAAAGACCTACCGAGCGCTGCCACCTCCATCACATCGCCTGATGTACCGTCCATCCTTCAGTGTAACCTGGAAAAAATAGAAAAAAAAGTTTGAGGTTGTTTTTCCGATTCCTCTTCTGTCCAGCTGTTTGTTTTTATACCCATTACTATAACTGACAACATCTGGAATAATTCCACCTGGCACCTCCTGGGTAAGACAGTGACAGTGTAATAGGTTGTAAAATGCTGCACGTTCAGTTTTACGGAAACAAACTGTTTCTGTTTATAACTGTCAGTAATACCTCTTATACATCTACATACTAAGGTAAAGACTTGTTAAATCAGTAGATGGTGATCCTGCACAGCTGTGGATAAACTGGAAAGCATACAGCTACAGGTTCAGGCATTCAAAGCTCTTTATTGATCCACAGCTACTGCAAAACTTCATTTTAAATGGTTCTAAACATATTTTTATTAGTTTTTCTTCATAAGTATCGTACGTTGGCAGTAGGTCATTTCCAGAAAACTGTTAATCTAAATATTTTTAATTAAAATGAATTTATTTTATATAGCACCAAATCACAACAACAGTTACTTCAAAGTGCTTTATATTGTACAGTAAAGACCACAATACTACAGAGAAAACCCAACAATCAGACCCTCTGGTGTATAAACTATTGCTGTCAGCGTTGATCTCGCCAAAATGATGTAAACGCCATAATCGCATTAACGCAGAAAATATCCGTAAGAAAGTTGACGTGGATCGCCCCATGCGTAGGGCTGCACGGCGTGCACGTGTTTACGAGCTTCCGGAGATTTGCCGCGTTAATGTGGTTATGGGGTTAACGTCATTTTGACGAGATCAACGCTGACAGCACTGGTCACTTCATTGTCATTAGTATTTAAACAAATAAAAACCTTACTCTGTGCAATACTGTACTAACTGCCACTCAAAATTTTGTACTGTTCAGTTTGTACTGCTGTTCACTCATGCCACTTTATCTCATGTGCAATATCCCATTTGCCCCCCCCCCCCCCCCCAATAACATGTCAATGGTTACATTCCTATTTAAGATTTCCTTTATCTATTCACAAGTGTGTGTGTATTTCCTGTTAACTTTTTTCTTTTTACTATATTTTATAAACATTTTGCTCTTACTGTTTTTTACGTATTATCCTGCTGAGTGACTGTCTGCTGCTCGTCAAATACATTTCATTGCAATGTTGACCCTGTGCTAACTTGCATATGACAAATAAAACTGAAACTGAAACTGATAAACACATAAAATGGTAACTGAAGAAAAAACACTCAACGCATCATGGAAATCCTCTTGCAGGTTAAGCCTATAGGAGTGTAACTAAGGGAGGATTCAGGGTCACCTGGTCCAGCCCTAACTATATGCTTTAGCAAAAAGGAAAGTTTGAAGCCTGATCTTAAAAGTAGAGATAGTGTCTGTCTCCTGAATCCAAACTGGGAAAAAATGATTCATAAAAATTCACTTTAACATTCAGATGAAAGTAAACCTCTTTGTAGAACAAGCACAAATATATAATGTGCATTTCTTTACAACACTGATGCGAACATATCATACACAATAATAGAAGAATAGAATAGAATAGAATAGAATAGCCTTTATTGTCATTGTACAAAGTACAACGAAATTGGAGTGCCACTCCCTTGGTGCAAGTTTCAATAATAAATATAAATGTAAAATATAAAAAGTACAATAAAACAATCACAAGTACTCAAACAATAGTAAGTACGATATATACAGGATAGCAGCATTAATATAATGACAGTATGAATAGCAGCATGATATAATGGCAGTGACGGTATGGAATAGCTAAGCAGGTTCAATTGTTTTTGTGCTTATTTACTACGGTGATAGCTCTGGGACAGAAGCTATCCCTGAATCTGTCTGTCCTGGTTTTATGTGACCTGTACCGTCGGCCTGTTGGTTGCTGGGGTGAGAGTAGTCCTTGATGATATTGCCAGCTCTGCTGAGGTACCGAGAGTTTGCAGTGACCTCCAGGATGTGATCAAGATGGCGCCGAGTATGGCAGCCTCGTCGCGAGCTCCCCCAAGCAACGGCTTTCTTCTGTGTTTAATTTTACTTTTCCTTTATTTTTTCACGAGCAGCACTTGTCTCCTTGTGTACGACCGACAAACCTTACTGGACATAAAAGACGGTCTTTCTTATAACTTTCCGGAGTTCAAGTTTTGCAACACGGACGCTCCGTTTGCAGACCCCCATTCATCTCACCTGAGACGCCTTTGTTCTCTGGCCCTGGAGGCCGCAAACGCCGACGCAGAGGGAGAAGATCTGGCGTTCTGGTTCGACTGAGACGGCGCACTTACAGACCACCGTTACCCAGTTTATTACTGGCTAATGTGCAGTCTCTGGAGAACAAGCTGTGCGAGCTTCGGGCACGGATCTCATTCCAGCGAGAGATGCGGGACTGCTGCGTGATCTGCCTCACAGAAACCTGGCTATCGGACAAAGTACCGGACTCCGCAATACAACTGCCGGGGTTCTCTGTGCACCGCGCGGACAGGTCACAGGATCTTACTGGGAAAAGCAGAGGCGGTGGTGTGTGTTTCATGATCAACAACAGCTGGTGTGATTATGCGAACGTGCACCCGGTCAAATCCTTCTGCTCACCGGACCTGGAGTACCTGATGATTAAGTGCCAGCCATTCTGGCTACCGAGGGAATTTACAGCAGTGATTATTACGGCCGTTTACATTCCCCCACAAGCCGACACTGACCGTGCACTCAGGGAACTGTACAGCGCGATCAGCAGCGAGGAAACCGCACACCCAGAGGCAGCGTTTATCACAGCCGGAGACTTTAATAAGGGAAACCTGAAGAAAGTCTCACCAAAACTCCATCAACACATCCTTTTCAACACACGTGGAAACCGGCAACTCGACCACTGTTACACCTCTTTCCGGGATGCGTACAAAGCCCTCCCCCGCGCCCCATTCGGCCAATCAGATCACTGCTCCATCCTGCTCCTGCCCGCCTACAGGCAGAAGCTGAAACAGGAAGCTCCAACCCGGAGGGCGGTGCACTGTTGGACGGACCAATCGGAGTCTGCGCTGCGGGACTGTTTTGATCACGCGGACTGGGAAATGTTTCACGTGGCTGCTAGGGACATTGATGAGTACACAGACTCAGTCTGTGGATTTATCAGGAAATGCGTGGAAGATGTCGTCCCATCCAGAACAGTTAAATCCTTCCCAAATCAAAAACCCTGGATTAACGGAGATGTTCGCGCGGCACTGGCGGCACGGAGCACCGCCTTTGCCTCCGCGAACACATCGGACTACAAACACGCACATTACCAACTCCGGAAGACGATCAAAGCAGCCAAACGTGAGTACAGGGACAGGGTGGAGCAACAGTTTGACAACCCTCGGAGTATGTGGCAGGGACTAAACACGATCACAGACTTTAGAGGGAAACCCAGCACACCGCAGACCACGGCCTCTCTGTGTGAGGATCTAAACGTATTCTACGCTAGATTCGACGCAGCGAACACCATGAGACCGGACAGTGTGCGCACCGCGGATGACGTCAGTGCGCACACTGTGTCTGAGGAGGATGTGCGGAGGTGCTTCAGGAAGGTGAACGCACGCAAAGCTACTGGTCCGGACGGGATTCCCGGCCGCGTCCTCAGGTCATGCGCGGCTCAGCTGGCTGGAGTGTTCACGCACATCTTCAACCTTTCCCTCTCTCTGTCTGTAGTCCCAGCCTGCTTCAAAATGGCCACCATCGTCCCTGTACCCAAATCCTCCACCATCTCCTCATTGAACGACTGGCGACCTGTAGCCCTGACCCCCATCGTAAGCAAATGCTTCGAGAAGCTGGTCAGGGACTTCATCTGCTCTGCACTACCCGACTCACTGGACCCTCTACAGTTTGCATACCGCCACAACAGGTCCACTGATGATGCCATAGCCCTGACACTGTCACACCTGGAGAAGAGAGACACGTATGTGAGGATGCTGTTTGTAGATTACAGCTCAGCATTCAATACCATCGTTCCCTCGAAGCTGGACAGGAAACTGCAGGATCTAGGACTGAGCAGCTCCCTCTGCAGCTGGATCCTTAGCTTCCTGTCTGACAGACGCCAGGTGGTCAGACTGGGCAGCATCACCTCATCCCCCATCACACTGAACACTGGTGCTCCACAGGGGTGTGTACTGAGCCCTCTCCTGTACTCACTCTACACCTACGACTGCACAGCCACTAACAGCTCCAACATCATTGTGAAGTTTGCGGACGACACTACAGTGGTGGGTCTTATCACCAACGGTGATGAGACGGCTTACAGGGAGGAGGTCAGCGCCCTGACCCACTGGTGTCAAGACAACCATCTCACCCTCAACGTCGCAAAGACAAAGGAGTTGATAGTGGACTTCCGGAGGTGCAGAGAAGTACACACCCCCATCACCATCAACGGCGCTGCTGTGGAGAGAGTGAGCAGCTGCCGGTTCCTTGGCGTACACCTGGCTGAGGATCTTACGTGGTCAGTACACACAAACAAAACAGTGAAGAAGGCGCAGCAGCGCCTCTTCTTTCTCAGGAGACTGAAAAGATTCGGCATGAGCCCCCGCATCCTCAGGACCTTCTATCACTGTGCCATTGAGAGCATCCTCACTGGATGCATCACCACCTGGTATGGCAACAGCACCGCCTACAACTGCAAAGCTCTCCAGCGAGTAGTGCGGTGCTCTGAACGGATAATTGGAGGTGAGCTTCCCTCCCTCCAAGACATCTACAGGAAGCGCTGCCTGAGGAAAGCGGGGAGGATCATCAAGGACTCCAGTCACCCCAGCCATAAACTGTTCAGACTGCTTCCATCAGGAAGGAGGTTCTGCAGCATCCGGTCCCGTACCAGCAGACTGAGAGACAGCTTCTTCCACCAGGCCATCAGACTGCTGAACACGTCATAGACACCTCAGCTTCACTACTGGAACTTTAACATTATGCACTCCACACTGTATATAAATGCCACTTGTTCTGCACATATTCAACTCTGTATATTTTATATATTTTATTATTATT